ACACACACACACACAGACACACACACAGTTAACACAGACAGACACTGACAATCACACTCACTCACTCATATGATGATATGCAAATTTGAGGCCACCAGCCGCCAGCCTGGCAGTTAGTGGATCGAACACACACACACACACACACACACACACACACACACACACACACACACACACTGCCAGCAGCTCTGCCAGCTGCTGACGTGCCCGTGAGCAAGGCGCCGCAGAGTGATGGCGTCTGACACGTCTCAGTCTCAGAGGATTAATTTCATGTTTACGTTCACCTCAGTCATGTGACCTGATCGTCCGAGTGCGTCCACATTGATCATCTGAAAACAAACAGACCCGTTGCATCTGTACTTTGAATCAAAGTCACAAGGTTGACACCTGGTGGAAAGATATGATATCGATCAAGAAAGAACTTTACTGTTTCACTGTCTCTGCAGCGTTCAGCTGAAACTATGAGTGTCTGTGTGGATGGTAACAACTTTATGGACGGGAGCACACTGGCGATAGTTGTGCTCACAGCTGCACATTGAGCAACACAAAGTTATTATGAGAAGGGTCAATTATTTGGGTTCCATTTTGAAACTGGCAGGAAAAATAAGTATATGTTGCTGCCACAGTGATAATTAATAACTCACTGACATGAGAGAAATGAAAGTCGGAGAAGTGTTATCCAGGATTCTTTAGGTTTTTCTTTAACATTGTTGGGGGGGGGGCCTATGTGCAGGCTCCGTCACTGGTTATCATTTTTTTAATGAAATGTCTCTTTGGTCACATGAGGCGTTCAAAACCCCAGAAACTGTTGCGTTGTTTTGAAACTGAATGAAGGTGGAAAAGTTCTTATGGGGGCGGACTGACTGATACGAGACATGCTGAGACAGGACACACACACACACACACACACACACACACACACAGGTCGATGTGTTCGGGACGTTATGACAGTTATGCTGGTAACCATAGTAAAACTAATAACAAACTGATGCTCCTGAACAACGAGTTGATGATGAGTTAAAACAGTTTGAATCATTATGAAGCTTCAACATGTGTTAGATGTGAAATGATCAGTTTATTAGGAACTAACCCTAACCCAACTACAACTGTGAGAAATGATTCTGATGTTCAGCAGCTGTTCACATTATTTTGTTCATTCTGTTCAAGTGTTCCTAATAAACTGAGCTGAGGAAAGAACTTAATGTTTCCATAGCAACAGAGATGCTGTTTATTTATTTCACTCATATTATAGATATGATCTGAGCACAGACCAAACCTGGTGTCTGGCTGTAGTATAACCCCTCCTCCATGTTAGTAGACTGGACATGAACCAAACTTAAATCAATGAAGACATTAAAAAAACATTTGTCATGAGATGTTTCTGTCGTTTCAGCTCGTTCTCATCTCTCTGATGTTTGTAATTTAATGATATAAAAACAGGCGGAGACATGATGATTGACAGCTGACACTGACTCAGGATTGGTCCACACACTGAAGCGAGCTAAAGATCAGATAATTTTCATCAAA